AGAACTGGAGCCTAGGGCCATCTGGGCCCTACATTTCCAAGACCAATATCTATGCCCCTGAAGAGGGGGCGGTATATGAGGCTCTTGGGAAAGCCGCTGGTCCCCTTCCCAGAAAAACCTACCTTCTCAGGAGAGTCTGTCCTTGCTGGGACCTTGGAACATGCCTGTGCTGGTCATTGGGCTCCCACCTTGACCTCTGTGAGTCACTCCCTCTCCAAGAGGCCCAGGGCCTCAACTGAGCTGGCAAGGCTGTGTCTCCTGCCCCAGGGAGTGCCTGTGACAAGGATGAGCAGAGTCGCAGGCATTTGGCTGTTCATTCTGGCTCAGTGCAGCAGATAGGAGGGCAAAGGTGGTTGACTTGGTTTCTGGAACTAGGTCTTGCATGCTCAGTCAGGGAGCCCTGCCCTCCACAGGACCCACCTCATCAGGCACAAGCCTATGGTCCAGGGTTTGCCCCTCTGCCTGCTTCCTGCCATCTTCCTGCCCGCAGAGCAGGTCAGCTGTGGAAGGCCAGCAGGAAAGCTTTGCTGCCTTGAAATTTTCTCCTTTTCTAGTTCTTTCTGGCACCAGTATGATGTCAGCTTGAGGTGGACAAGAATCGGAGGGGAGGGCACAGTTTTCCTCAAGGAGCTCACAAATAAACAGGGTAATTTGGGGTGAGAAGTATGGTGCTCAGAGTCTAAGAACCCAGGGTCCAGAAGGAGGCCTCACCCAGCACGAGTATGTCTGGGTGGCCGTGGCCGTGTGCCCCCGGAGTCAGGACAAATGGGCTGAGAGTTTTCCTGGGAGAGGCTGAGACAGCTGCAGAGGTAGGTGTGTGTGTGGGGGCCATTTGTAGAGGGCACAGGTGCTGTTTAGGGGGTTCATACCCCGAAGGGTGGAGCAGAGCAGTGACAGGCTCAGGCTCTGTGGTAGCCACTGCAGGTGGAGCTTGGTGCCTAGGTGAGTGGGTAGGTGCTGTTTCGGAGGGGGCGTTTGATCGCATTTCCTGGGGGGGCCTACACTGTATTTTGTGAAGCTCCCAGCTTGGGGGAGGAGGCCTGTTTTCCTGTAGGTGGGCGGTGGCAGATGGCTGGTTCTCAAGAAGAAGAGGGGTGCCAGGTAGGCAACATTTCGCCTCCTTTTACAAATGACTTCAAAGAAAGGAAAATCCAATTTTCCTCAGTGGATGTTTGAAATGGCCACCCCGCTGGGGTGATCAGCCTCACATCTACGAGGAAACCAATCGGGTGGAGGAGAAACGTTTTCAACTCTCAGACCTGAGATGAATTGGCATTCAAAGAGGCACAGAAGCAGCCGAGGTGTGGCTGGGGGATTGCAGTGTCTGCCTGCGTTTTCCACCATCTCTGAGCACATTTGGAACATTAGTCCCTGATACCAAGACTTGAGGTTTTTTGGGTGGGTTTCAGATTGAGGAATTACACAGAATATTCTCCTGATGGAAAAAGCTATGCTGGGGGTGGTGGGAGCACTAAAATCTAAATCGATCAAACAGATCCTGGTAGTGGGGCTGGGCAAGGAGCCTGTAACACTGTGAGAACTATCTGCACAACTGACCTCTCTGGTTTGGTCAGACGACACCTGAGACCTGCTTGCCTGAGGAGGGGCAGCCACACCATGCCCCCCACCTCTTACTGGGCACCAGGAGGGTGAGGCCATCCAGACCTCCTAGAGCCACAAGGCTCAGTCCTGGCATCATCCTGGGAGCAGGACACTAAGAAGAGATGAGTTGAAGCAGAGCCCACCTCCTCTGTGCTTTCACTGGTTTGATTCTTCCCAGAGCCGCCACAGGGGGTGGGCCCCACAAGGTCGGTCCCCCAGGGGCCCATCTTGCACCTTGCTTGTCGACCCAGGCCCTTTGCGCCACGGAGTAAGGCCAGGCTCCAAAGGCTCACATGCTAACTGAGCCCCAAAGGGTGAGGGGGCTGAGATCCCTGGCCCTCAGTGAGCCAGTTCTTGGACCCCAGAACACTCACTTTCCCTGGCTTCACAGGAAGGGCTTCAGAGGCCTGGGCACCCCCAGCCTGCCCCCAGCCGAGTGGCAAGCTGTAGTCACAACTAAAAGTCTGATCTTTCGCTCCTCTGCTGTCAGCTTGAGCAGAGGGGAAAGCTAGCCCTTGAACGTGTGTAAACCCTTAGGAGACCCAGATGGGGAGGCCAGACGAGAGTCTGCAGTGTCAGGAAATGCTTCCTGAATCTCCAGTGAGGTGTGGTCATTCCTCCTCTACTTTGAAAGCTGGTGCTTTGCACAGAAAACCTTCAGGGGGGTCCCAGAGCGACCTGGTTGCCCAGCGTTTGTTTCCGGTTGACAGTACCATGGGGGGGATCCCTGGGTGGCGCAGTGGTTTAGCGCCGGTCTTTGGCCCAGGGCGCGATCCTGGAGACCCGGGATCGAATCCCACATCAGGCTCCCGGTGCATGGAGCCTGCTTCTCCCTCTGCCTGTGTCTCTGCCTCTCTCTCTCTCTCTCTGTGACTGTCATAAATAAATAAAAAAAAAAAATTTAAAAAAAAAAAAAAAAAAGATTTGACAGTACCATGGGGACGGGAGAGGCCAGAGAGAGAGAGCCAGTTCAGCCCCTGTCTCTCGTTGACAGATCCACATGAAGACCATGCCTGCTGCCATGTTCAGGCTTCTCACGGGCCAGGAGACCCCGCTGTACATCTAGGCCCACCCAGCCTGTACCACCCAGCCCACCTGGGTTCAGAGGAGCTGGAAAGGCCGGACCCAGGACCTGACCCCTGACCCCACGGCCCACCCAAGGACACTGGCTCCTCTGCAGGGCCTGCCCTCACCACCCACTTTTTTTTTGTTTTGTTTTTTTTTGTTTTTTGTTTTTTGTTTTGTTTTGTTTTGGATAAAAAGGGGTATGTCTTCATCAAAGGAGAGTCACAGGAAGCAATCTCTGTAGAACAGTCCCATGTTTTGCCCATTCTGACCCGTTTCCTCTTTGCGATGGACAAGGGTGTGTGTTTGTACCTGTGTGTGGCGTGGAGTGTATCTTTCCTCCCTGAGGCCTTGGGGAGCGGCCGTGAAGGGAGCCCGGCGAGGGCAGCAGGCTCGAGGGTGGGGGTGGTGGTGGGGGTGGTGGTGGCAGTGACTGTCCCCCTCTGCCCCTTTCCCTGGGGTGGGGGGGAACCCTGGGGTGCTTCGGGGGAAAGGGCCGCTGGAGCTGCTGCAGCCCGGCTCCCAGGCTGTGACTTATATGTGAAGTCCGGGAACATGTGATTGTATTTAACCAGCAGGGAGACGCTCCTGAGTTAAATAAAAGATGATGGCTACAACATCAAAACTCCATATTTATTTAGATAACATCACGGTTTTGACTTTTGCTTTGACCAGCCCTTCTTGAGACTCTAGGGTTGTTGGATGACCTGCCACCACACCTGCTGCTCCTGTCCTCGCTGGAGGCTGGCCTTCCGTGGGCACCCCTCCAGCCGGCCACCGAGCCCCCGCCCTTCCCAGGCTGGGGCCCACTGGCTCCCCCTCCCAGGGACAAGGGGCAGCGGCCCTCTGTCTCAGACCTCGGTCCGCACACACGCATCCACACACGAGCGCCCCCACCCCCAGAGCCACAGCCCAGCCTGGAAAACTGCCGCCCCCGGAGGCAGCCGGAGGAGAGCTCAGATCGCCGGCGAGCCAGGCGTCACGTCACCGCGAGCAGTATTAGAGTGTGTGTAGATCAAGTGAAACGTAGTCTAGTTCAGCTCATTAGAGGTCATTGTTAACTGACGTCATGTTGTCTGGAAGTCTCTTTCTTTCGCCCAGGCCTTGAAGAATACACTGTGACTTAAGAAGCCTTACCATGCAGTAACTAAAGCTTTAGGATTACTGTATTCAAGGAGTGACCTGTGTGTTGCATGCAGCCGACCTTAGGAAGACTCGCTAATCTCACTAATAAACCTGAAGTCATGACGAAAAGCTGTTTGCGTGGCTGGTTTGTTCACGGAGAAGTGGATGCCTGACTTCTCAACCTCAACGCCTCACCGCGTGGGTCTGCGGTGGTGCCGTGTGCTGATGGCAGCCCCTTCGGGTTTGGGGTCTGGGGCCTCAGGGGTGCTCCCCAGTGGGGTCGGAGAGGTGGGTGCTCGAGGCACCAGGGGTCAGGCTGGGGCTGGCCATCGGGGGGCTGCAGGATCAGTGATGGAGACCGGTCACCAGGCCTGCCTCACCCACCCCATCCCGCGGAGGAGACAGGCTGCTAGTGGAATAAGGGACAGAAGGAGCCTTGCTGTTCTGGTTTAAATTTCAGTTATCTCCAGGAGAGATGAGGGGTGTGTGTGTGTGTGTGTGTGTGTGTGTGTGTAAAACAGAAACTTAGGCAACCCATCCCAGTGGTGTTTGCTTACCTATAGGGTTATTTGTGGCCTGTCACCTGGTATAGGGAAGTAGGGGTAAACATGGGCTTTGATCACAAGGCCTGGAATGATGTGTCTCCCTGATGGTCTGGGAAGCTTGGCCCATTCGGACCCACCTCTGGTCTCCCCACAGCAATCTGCACTCCATGCTGTGAGCTACTGATGAGAGGCCCTTCACAGCTAGCCAGATAGCCCACGTCCTTGGGTGATGACAGGGAATGTCACATGGATAAAAGCTGGAGGGAATGGACCTTAGCCTAGGAGAGCCAAGAGGTAGGTCCCTGTATTCCCAAAACAGGGCAGGTGAACAGGCTCCGGAGACAAAAGGCATGGCTAGCAAATGACATGAGGGTGGGGTATAGGGTGGGGGGGGGGTGTCCCACCAAATGATTCACATAAAAAATCCAAATTAAAGAATGTTCCGAGCCAGCTCTGGCAGGGCCTGCGTTGGGGGGGGGGGCAGGGGTGGGCACCTTCCCGCCTCCTGGCCCCCACGCCCTGCCCTTTTCTGGAAAGATATGGGGAGACACGGTTGGACAGCCGTGGGTGCCTCATGCTCCCTGCCGCCGCTGGAGATCCTGGTCTTCAGAGGCCCACACGGGCTCTCTGCCTGTCTGTCCCAATTAGACCCAGAGACACAGAGGCCAGAAATAGTTTTTATTAAAACACTGATCATTATGAAAACACCTTGAGGTACATTAAATAAATACAACCTTCAAGTTGTACAAACAGGTCTCCTGTGGCTTGAAAACAATTGCCTATAAATTCTGCCTAATAGCAGCATCTGTGAATCAGTACAGCTGGGAGCAGGGGGGAGGGGAGCAGGAAACATCCATTTGAAATAAGCTTTCTGTTACATGGTTTGTTACAAGCATTTAATTTGCATTGTTGTCACCAGCTGAAGAAGACCTTAGGTCCTTGTGACAGATGAGTCCCCCCCTTGTTTGCCAGAGAGGTGGGGTCTGGAGCTCACCCACCACAACCTTCTTCTGGCCCCCAGGCAAATGGCAGTGTATGGACAGGCTCTGCACACACACACACACACACACACACACACACACACCAACCGACCCCATTTGGGTTGTGGGGAAAAGGCCAGGAGAGCACTCAGGACCCAGGCCTGTGCAGGTGGTGGGGGAGGTCCCTGCAGGTAGGGGTCCCACATTTTAGCTTACTGGCACAGGGTGTCGGGCTCTGCTGATGTTCTACAGAGAGGAGAGGTGGGAGAGGGTGTACCAGCACAAGGAGGAAACCAGCTTCCCCACCGCGCTCCGCCACGCGCCCACATGGTCAGGGCTGGGGGTGCCCGCTGCTGGGGCTCCTGGCTCCCAGATGCCACTGAGCAGAGCAGGGTCTCGGGTACTAGAACTGGCAGGTCCGCTCCCTGGCTTGTTCCTAGTGGCTCTGTCACTTCTCTCATCTGGAACCTTTCAAGAAAGCCAGGATCTGGGCCCTGCTAGAGCCCACATGGGCCACCTGGGGCCCGTAGGAGATGGGCAGAAGGTTCTAGCTCAGTGGTATAAAATTGAGTACACGCTCCTCTACTGCAAGACAGAGTTGCTGAGAGCAAAAGCACAACTGAGCGTGGAAGGGTGTGTGAAGGGCAGAGCCCTTGAGAACATCTGGGACTCTGGGCTTTGGCTGGATCACCCGTTTGTACATGAGTGGAGGCCCAGGTGGCAGCAGGAGCCCCGGATGGCAGAAAACACACTGTCCCGCTGCAGGGAGGAGAAGCAAAGGGCACAGAGCACCAGGGCAGCTCCTGGCGGCCGCCCCCTGGTGCACAGTAAAAATACTGATGCCTGAGCTCCACCCCACAGGTGTGAGGGAGGGCAAGGGGCTGCCTCAGTCAACTTGAAGCCAGGTCGGAGAGCGCAGGCTTAGCCCCGGGACTCGGCCCAGGGCCACTGCTTGTGTGGGCCCCAAGCCTGAAAGTGGGGCCCCAGCATGTGCAGACGAACATTCCTGCAGCTCGCTAAACTCCACTTCCCACCCCAGCGACACTGAGAATGCCTGGATTCAGAGACCATGAATGCCTTGCAGATGGGCTCAGGGGAGGCCACTTGGAAAAACCATTGGTTAAACGTACCTGGAAGGGATTTGCTTTGGGGGGTACTTCAGCAGCCCTCAGCTGAGAGAAATTAGGGATTTCCCATTTGATAGTCTGGCTAAAGTCCTCATCTCTGGGATTCTCCAGTGGAAAAGTTCTGGTTGGCATCCAAAGGTCTGATGGGAATTTTTCCAGCTCTCTCACCTCTTCCAGAGGCAAAGGAGGCAGTGAACAATGAACATGACTGAAGCAAAGTGCTCCAAGCTGACCGTCACCGCAGGCTTCTTGAACTTCCGTTCCCAGGGGGGCTCCTGGCGTCTGGACTGCAGACTCTCCCTGCCACCCCCTTCCCAGCTTCCACCCAGCAGTTTGGCTACAGTGGGGCGCAGAGCAGAGGGGAGGACAGTACACAGAACCTAGACTGTTGGACAGTGAGCAACAGTGGGTAACCATCGGGTCCTCCCCCTGCACTCTTCGTGCCAGGCCTTGGGCTTTCTCAACCCTTGGGCTCTGGGTTGAGAAGCATGAGTTCCTTGTTCGATGCAGGGCTGCAGTGCAGATGCTGGTGACCACTGCTGTGGATGGCACAGGGACAGGCATTCCCATCGCTGCAGAAGGTTCTTGAGAACAGTGCTGCTCCAGGGCCGTTGTGGGGAAGTGGCTACTGTTAAGGTTGCCAGAACATGGGGGGTGGGGGTGGGGAGAAGTACCAAGAAAGTCAAAATGCCCAAGCTGCCCCCACAGAGAGGTTGGGCTGGCCTGCTTCCAAGTAGCCAATTCAGGGGGTTTTGGATGGAAAGAAACGATTTACAACCTGCATCCTCCAATGCAGATGTGGCTGCTGCCTGGCTGGGAAGGGAATGCTCTGGGGTCATGCTCTGTGGGGAGGTGCACAGATCCTGGGATACAGGCCTCTTCCCCCAGACCCCCACCCCCTCCAGGCCATCTTGGGGACAGCAGACAGCGAGAAGCCCCACGGGGGCTCGCCAAAGGTGTCTGCAGAGTAGGAGACGGTAGACAGGGAAAGAGCTGGAGACACAGTGTGAAGGGCACCCCATGGAGGAAGGGGGGTGACGGGAGGCCCAGGAGCCTGGGTGATGGGGGCAGATGGGGGTGGGGGTGTCAAGCAAAGCTCCCTGCCACACCAGCTTGCTTCCAGGAAGCAGAGCGGCCACAGCCACAGCGAGGTCCCCTGTTGTGATTTGTAAGCACAATAGCCCTGCACCCTGCAGGCAGGGAGCTGGGCCCAGGCTGCCATCCGTGCTAGAATTACCCATTTTCTTTCCACTCAGCAGACGATAAAAGGTAGATTACTGCGTGACACAAACCATATAAGAAAATGGTCTCATTACTGGATACCCTCCTCTAGCCACGGAACACTCAACTCACTCAGAGGTGGGGGGAGAGAGAATCTTGCTTCTGGCTGGCCCAGGTTTTGAAGCTACTTCACTGTCTCTAGTTCCACTGTCACCTGTCACTGTGTTCCCGTAACACTGGTGGGGTGTGATGTGCCTGAAAAAACCAAGGAACTGACGATGGCAATTGAGAGTCATTTTTCTGTATTACCGGGATAGGTAGGAAGTGTCATCCCCAAGAAAACAAGGGACCAGATCCTCCTCCAGAGAAAGACAGGGGTTCCCCACCCAGGCCACCCAGGACACTCCTGGGCAGCAGGCCCGCCAGCAGGGACACTCTGGCCCGGGCCTGTCCATGTCCCCGTCGGGCCCTGTGGCCTGCTCACACCTGGTCCAGCACAGTGGCGCTGAGGACGGCCTCCTCTGTGTGGGACTCATCAGGGGCAACCGTTGGGCGGAATGTCCCCACCACGTGCCGCACCTCAGGAGGCAGCGCACAGTTCGAGTGTTCCAAGAACTTCACCACCAAACCCCGGGGGTCTGTGTGGGCCTTGCTGTGCACTAACGAGTGTGGCCGCTCTTTGAAGACGGTGTGTAAGGCCTCTGGCTTTGCCCGTTGGTCCGTTCTCCAGGTGTCCAGGGGCCCAGGGGGCGAGCGCAGGTGCTGACATGCACAGGCCGCCGTGATGGAGTGTGATCGCGAAACTAGAAATCAAGGGAAAAGATAAAATCTGAAAACAACCAGAACAAAACAGAAGGCCGCTGTTATAGAAGTTCTTGACAAGTGAACACAAGCCTACTGGGGACAAGCTTTCTGTTGGCATCTCCACGTTCCGGGGCCAGCAGCTATGGGACTGACCCTGCTTCCATGTCCCTTCGTCCCCTGGGTGGCCTGGCCCCTCTCAGCCCTGAATGGAGCTGGGGTTAACCCAGAGGGGCCACAGCTTCACCCCACCTGGAGCTGGAGGACTGGAGATGGGAGGGCAAAATGCAAAGCGGGTAGGGAGAGAGGGGCAGGTACAGGTCGGGACCCCCTTCCTTTGGTCTCTTCTGCGGGAAGTCCTGCACTCACAGGGGGCTGACCCTTCTCAGCTGTCCTTGGCTCAATGACCTTTGCCCCTGTGGGGCTGATGGCATCTAGAGTGGGCCACCTTAAGACCGGAACTGGGGGTGACAGAGGAGCAGTGAGAGCACCTGACCCCTCCTCCTGGCACTACCTCTCCCTGGCACCAGGGCTCAGAACACCAGGGTCTGGCTCCCAGTCCCCACCAGGCAAGGCCAGGGAAACAACACTAGTTCACAACAAGGCCCATGGCCACTCCGGACGAGCCAGGGAATGCACAACGGCCTGACAGTGCCTCCAGGGAGAGCCAGCCCTGGGCAGGCTCCTGTGACCGTCTCCCAAGCGCTAGATTAGGCCTGACTTGCCCACAGCATGTTTCAAGTCACACAAAGGAAACACAGTCTGGGTGGTCTGGCATACTTTTGGTGGCAGCAGAGCAAGCCTGACAACTAAGCAAGAGAAACTGTTAAAACAAAAACAAAAACAAAACAAAGAAACAAAAAAAAACCTCACACGGGAGGCCAATCTCCCCTTAAAATAGCATCTCATAAATACAGGGAAACAAGCACCATGTGCATGCTAACTCAGTGATAGCCTCTCAGGTGTTCTCCTGAGGAGACAGAGGCAAGGGAAGGCCGTCCTTTCTTTTCTTTTCTAATTTTATTTATTCATGAGAGACAGAGAAAGAGGCAGAGACACAGGCAGAGGGAGAAGCAGGCTCCCTGCAGGGGATCATGCCCTGAGCTGAAGGCAGATGCTCAACCACTGAGCCACCCAGGTGCCCCAAGGCTGTCCTTTCAAAGCCCACAGAGCTGGAGAGCCCTTGCTCCTGGGGGACACCATGAGGCCCTGACTCTCTCTCTCTCCCTCTCTCTCTCTCTCTCTCTCACACACACACACACACACACACACACACACACACACACACGGGCAGCCAAGGACCACCAGACACTGCCCCCACCCCTGCCCACCTTCCCCCATTCACTGCAGGTGTCAAAGTGGTTTAGAAAAGGATGTCTCACCAGTCCCCAGAGCAGCCCTGGATGGTCCTGCTTCGAGGTCCCGACTGCAGGAGGGGGTGTGTGAAGAGGCCTTGCCTTCATCAGAGAGAGTATTCAGTTAACATGTGGAAGGGAGAAAGGAGTTCCTGAGGACACTATAATCCCCCTCCCATGGCTGAGAAGTACCCTCTAGATGCCAGACCAGCAGAGGGGGGCCTCCCATACTGCCGCCAACCCGTGTGCAGATCCAACGGGAGCAGGCCCACTGCTGGCTCCCACAAGGCAGGGGCCGCCCCGGGCCTGTTACATCCTCAGCCCAGCAAAGGGCCAGGGCCGCAAGCAAAGCCAGCACCCTCCATCGGAATGCCCATCTGCACCTGAGGGTCCCCAGAGATCCCGGGGACGCACATGCTTTTGCCAGTCCGAACACTAACTACCTTGTTTGGCTGAGAAGAGGGTTGGTGTGGGGACGCAGAGAAGGCCCTGTGACAACCTGTCATCCAGCCACCTCTTCTCCTCATCCCCACCCCCAAAATGTCATGATTGGCCGAGCCCCAATTTTCCTGAATGGGGGACAGGCCCAAGGGAGCCATGAGAGGCCACAGAGCAGACACCCCAGGTACGTGGGATCCTACAGGTAACAGCCCTCACAGGAGCAGAGAGGGGCTGAGTCTGGAATCCCCCAGCACGGGGTGGGGGAGGGGCCTCAGGAGAAGCCTCTGATGGAGTCCCGTGTGGTGAGCCGGCACCTGAACCTGGGCAGAGACAGAGGAGCGCAGGCCCAGGAGCCTGGAGGGGCAAATCTGGCATTTCTACCTGGAGGGCCCTTGAGGGCAATGACCTGGGCAGGTTCCTGGTTCCTTGCAGGGACACAATTCTCCTGGGACACGGGTCTTGTCTATTTGGGGTTCAGCTGGACTGGACCACTGAGGCCAGGCACCCAGTGGGCCTCTTTGGGCCTCATTCGGTTCCAGGGTAGGAAGTCCAAACTCCGACGGCCCTGCAGCTGTATAATTCCCACCCGTCCTTACCGGTGTAGACACTGCCATCCTCCCCACTCAAAACTAGCACCGTGGGAGGAAGTGGTGGTTTAGTTCCAGGGCACACAGGCCCCCTGCAGCAGTTCCAGCTGCAGCCCAGGGAGGGCACCGCCCCCTCAGAGTCACAAGGCGCGACTCTGACCCGGGCTCCAGGCCACACAGGGAGTGCTGCCAATGGTGCCTGTGTAGTGCCACTGGAGACACACCTGTGTATGCCTGTGGTGGCTCCAGCCAGAGGACACCCCACCAACCCAGCACTGCCATTGAGGCACAGCCCTGCCTTATGTGGCCCTGGGTCCCACCAGACCACTAACCAGGCACTGGCACGGCCCACAGGTGTGGAGCCCAGGCTAGTCCCGGGGAAGAGCCATCAAGGTCGGTCGATGGATACAGCCTTTGGTCACCTGCCTGACCTGAGTCCCCACCTGAGCCCCAGAGCTAGTGCAGAACCAGCAGGATAAAGTCAGAGGCTAGCTGACCCCAGATGAGCTCTCATCACCTTCCATCTCTCCTCCCCTTCCTCCCCAGCTAGAAAGTAGGAAGCCTGGTGGGTGTACAGCAGGGGCCCCTACCTGGCCACCACTCCCTAGGGCCCTCGGGCATTAAGGCTACATTCCCTGCACAGAGGTCCCAAGGCCTGGCCTTGACTCTCAGCTCACCAAGGCCTGCAGTGTCCAGGGCAGAGCAGGGCACACACCAGGGATACAGGGGCACTGGACCAGTCATACCTGCCACACTGGATGAGCATGAAGTGGGGTCGCTGGTGGAGCGGGCCACATGCCCAGGACCTGGCACCACCCGCATGCCCTGGTCAGAGCCCTCTGGGGGCTCAAGGCTGGGTGGCAGGGGCTGCGAGGCACCCATGGGGTCTTCAGGGCTTAGGCCGGGTGCAGTGGCACCCTCGGATGCCAGGAGGCTCGAGCTATCCACAGGCTCTGCAAGGCAAGGGACAGTGTTAGTTAGCAAGGACGCTGGGCTACCACAGAGCCACCCAACAGGCACGGGGCCTGTCCACACTCCTGTTGGAGCTGAGAGTGAAAATCTCTGCCTCCTGGAGCCCTCCCAGGGGGCCTGAGCAGACTGCCCTTCAACACCAAATCTAGACAATCCTGTAATCCTGAGGGCATGGAAACGCTGAGCAGGTTCACAAATGCTTGATGGCAGGAAGGTTTTAGTGGACACCAGATGACCTCCCAAAAATCATCCCAGGAGGGGTATAGGTGCAGGGCACTTACACTCTTCACATTCCACAAGGGACTGGAAGTCAGAAACCAGCCCCAACTCCCATCCAGGGCATGCCCAGGGCATCTGAAGTACAGGAAGGAGGCGGCACAGGAGGCTCCGTGGACACAGCCCATGCATAGCAAGGCGGGCCCGGGGGGCAGGCGGGCATCCCAGCCAGGCCCTCCCAGGCCCGAGAAGCTGCCTGCCGCACACGGAGGAACGGCCCAGGGCCTGGACTGCGAGCCCGGGCCAGGCCGGTAGCATCAGCACCGCTGGGGCACGTGTCACATTCAGGTCCCCACATCAGAAACTCGGGGGTGGGCCCAGCCACTGGGGTTCGAACAAGCCCCCAGGTGATTCCGATGCCACCCCACCTCAAGTGTACACCCCCTGCCCTCTCTCCCTGTGATGCTGGCCAGCTCGGGCTCCTGTCCCTCACCACTCCAAGGCTGGCACCCCGGGGGCGGGGGACTGGATCAGAATCTGTCTTAACAAGATCCCAGGGGCCTGTGTGCACATTATTAAGGTTTAAGAAGCACTGCTCCCTCTGCTCTCATCCCTCTACCAGACAACGTCAGAGCGGCTTCCATGAGGCTCCTCACCCATCGGGGCAGACATCTGAGGTCAGCGGCTCTCTGTGGGGAGCTTTGTAAGAATCACAGCCGCGTGAGCAACTCCTTCCATCCTTTTGCATGGGTCCTGTGGGAGGTCTGTTTCCAGTGCCCTCTACCTGCGAGCTTGCCCATGCCAAGGGGTTGGTGACCTCACGGCCCAGGCCAACACGCAGGACACACAGCTGAGGGGCCTCAGGGGAAGAGGGTCACGAGGCCATGGAACGGAGGAGGCCATTTCTAGAGTACTCTTGCTTCACCAGCCCTCCCCTGTCTACCCCTGCCTTCCACCATCTTCCTCTGCCCTCCCCTGTCTACCCCTGCTCCCTTACTAGATGCTTTGAGACAATTAGCAGAAACAGAAAGATGAACCAAACCTCAGAAATCATAGCAAAAAAAAAATTTTTTAAGATGATTAATCTTTTTATTTCTTCTCTTCTCTTTTCTTTTCTTTTTTTTTAGAAAGAGGGGAGGCAGGGGGCAGAGGGAGACAATCTTAGGCAGGCTCCACACTCAGTGCAGAGCCCGATGTGGGGATTAATCTCTCTACCCTGAGATCATGACCTGAGCCAAAACCAAGAGTCGAACATTCAACTGACTGGCCACTCAGATGCCCCAATCCTTTTCTTTTTTAAGGTACTAGAAGAATACTCATAGAAAATATAAGAGAATAAATCTACGAACTTGGAGTGAAGAAAGACTTTGTAAAAATGATAGACACCAGAAAGGAAAAGCTTGACAAATCTGACAATAAGAAAAATTGTAAAAAAAAATTATAAAAGTTGTATGGTAAATGACATCATTGATAGGGAGGAAGCAGGGGTGCCTGGGTGGCTCAGTTGGTTAAGCCTTTGCTTAGGTCACGATCTCAGGGTCCTGGGATTGAGTCCCACGTCAGGCTCCCTGCTCAGTGGGGAATCTTCTTCTCCCTTTGCCCCCTCCTCGTGCTCTCTCTCTCTTACAAATAAATGAAATCTTTAAAAAAGAAATAGAAGGGAGAGCACAAACTGGGAAAGCACCCCTGCAATGACTAGGAATGGTGAGAAAATGTCTCTATTTAATAAATATTTTTCTTATAAATCCACCCCCCCCAACAAAACACTGCAAAAAAGTAGGTGGAAAACTGACCTACAAATAGGTAATAAACATGTAAAAAGGTGCTCAATCTTGCGTGCATATCACGTTCAGCTGCAGGGGTGACAGACATTATCAGGAATGATGATATCTCGGGGTGTCATGAACATTGTTGGTGGATGCATACATTAGCAATAAAACTTTTCCAGAGTGCAATATGGCCGACACATCAAAACCTAAAATACCCACTTCCTTGGACTCAGCAATCTCACTCATAGTGATTTATTCTAAGGGAATGACTGGGCAGGCACTCAAAGGTGAATGTATTGATGTAGAAAAGAAACACTTCTCTCTATGGTTAGAAAACTTCAAACCAGTAAGTGTAATTATTAACTGTATCAAAATTACACAGCAGCATATTAAAATTATTCTGAATAATATTCATTCCTGCTGATGTCTTTTGATCTTCATTTTTCTTTTTTTTACAGCTTTAACATATTGTATAATTGATATACAAAAAACCTGCCCATTTTTAATATGTACAATTTGATGAGATTGCACATAAGCATCTACCCTTGATCCCAATTTTCTTAATGTCAGCAATAATCCAATGGCTGAGTTCCTCCAGAAAATAGAGTCACAGAGAGAGAAATGTGACTTGGCTCTGAATAGCTGTAATTAATGGAAACTTAGGGAATGAGGATAACCTGATAGGGGAAGCTCATCGGCCAAGATTCTCTCACCTGCTTGTATTGTGAGTTCATTTACACAGGAGCAATAACCCTAGTGGACTTCCAGTTTTTCACCTAACAGATTACAAGCATTTTTTCTGAATTAATGTATAATGACATATTTAGCATATGTAACATAGTTTCCTTGACTCTTACCAATAGACTTCATCGCCCCTGGAAGCTTTTACTCCTAAGAAAAATGCACGTTATCTTCATGCCTACGGTTCTCTTTATTCTTTCTTTTCTTTTTTTCTTTTTTCTTTTTTATTTTTTTTTTAATTTTTATTTATTTATGATAGTCACAGAGAGAGAGAGAGGCAGAGACACAGGCAGAGTGAGAAGCAGGCTCCATGCACCGGAAGCCCGACGTGGGATTCGATCCCGGGTCTCCAGGATCGCGCCCTGAGCCAAAGGCAGGCCCCAAACCGCTGCGCCACCCAGGGATCCCCTTTTTTTCTTTTTTTTTTATGTTACTCTCCTAGGGCAGTTCCAGAAGTGTGATCACCACATCTAATGGCATAAACATTTTTATGGCTCTTTATCAAGATGCTTTGCCAAAGGGGTGGGTTGATTTACAAGCTGTCAGTCAGGGCTGGGTGTAGCAGCTTTCCTGGGCCCTTGCCAGCATCCATGTCCTCATCACTATTTTATTTCAATAAATGAGAAACAATACCACCAGCATCTACCCCATTCTGAGCAACCCCTCACCCCCACCAAAAAAAAAAAAATTCTAGAGCTAATCCATGAGTCTGGCAAGGTTGCAGGATACCAGCTGAACACACAAGAACGAATCCCATATGTACCATGGTCAGTCACAGGTACTAACAACAAGCATGCAGAAACCAACAGTAAAAACACAATACCACTTACAGTGGCTTCAAAGAAAATGAAACTCCCAACTATACACACAACAAAACATGGTCAGGATCTGTATTCTGAAAATGTGAATGAAAGAAATCAAAGAGGCTCCAAATCAGCGGAGAGATAGACGTGATGTGTGCCTGTACTAGAAGGCTCAGACTTGCAAATGTGCTGCAGGTTTAATGCTGTTCCTGCTACATTCCCAGCTAGAGTGTTTTGTGGACACAGGCAAGTGGATTCTAAACTGGATATGGAAACACATGGCCCTGGAGGATCTAGAACCATCTTGGTGAAGAAGAGCAAAGTAGAGGTGTGGCTGTGCTTGATACAAAGGCTTCCCACCGGGCGACAGCCATCCTAGCAGAAAGACTGACACACAGATTAATGGAAGAGAATACCGAGCCCAGAAATAGGCCCATGCCGTTATGCCCAGCTGACTTTTAACAAAGGCACCAAAGCTACAAATGAGCTGGAAGAGTTGGATATGCACAGGCCAAAACAGTGACATGGACCTCAACCTCAGCCTGTACAGCAAGGACCTGTGGGAGGCATCTTTGCTAAAGTGAAACCTGCTTGGCCTGCTGTCCCATGAGTGTGTCTGTCAGTACCCTTCCATACATTCCTGCCCACTTCGAGGCTGGCCCCTCTGCCAGGAGTTGGTGTCCGAAGCAGCCCCAAGTTTCTTGGACAAGCTCGGTTAACCGCCCAAATGCTGGGCAGTGAGGAAGGCCCTGCCCAGATGCATTCCTGACTCCTCTGTCCACCTCTGTCTGCCCAGGGCTCCGGGAGCCACCAGGCTGCTTGGCTTTGCCAACCATGCTTTCCTCCAGAACTTATATTTTCAGAAGGGATGTGGCTGGAATGGGGAAAGGGGCCCTGTCAGTCCAAAGTCTAGAAAGAACTGGGCTGATTAGAAATGACAAATACCCACCATTTGCTTCGACATGGATGGAACTGGAGGGTATTATGCTGAGTGAAGTAAGTCAATCCGAGAAGGACATACATTATATGGTCTCATTCATTTGGGGAATATAAAAAATAGTGAAAGGGAATAAAGGGGAAGGGAGAAAAAATGAGTGGGAAACATCAGAAAGGGAGACAGAACATGAGAGACTCCTAACTCTGGGAAAAGAACTAGGGGTGGGGGAAGGGGAGGAGGGCGGGGGGGGGTGACTGGGTGACGGGCACTGAGGGGGGGCACTTGATGGGATGAGCACTGGGTGTTATTCTATATGTTGGCAAATTGAACACCAATAAAAAATAAAAAAATAAAAAATAAAAGAACTGGGCTGGTGTGGTCACCTGTGCTAGGAGACTGAGGCCCACGGTGCCCTGAAGGCGGTCACAATAGCTCTGGGCAGGCCACAGGGCACCACCTCTCAGAAATGGCTTTTGAGGGTTGCTAGGAGCCACCGAGTGAAAGACAAGGTCACTTCCAAATCCTACAATTGCAGAGACAGGTCTCCTACAACCCAGCGGCATCCTTCTAGAAGGATGCTCCGTTCTCATTTCTTAGATGTTAACTCAGAATTGGGGTCGAGGGCAGACAGCCCTGGACTATAGCGGTGGTGCTTTCAGGGACTCTTAGTTATCTCATGTGTTAGCTGACTTCCATTTCTGAGTAACCCACCCACCAGAGCCCACCTGAGGACCCAGCCCCTGCCCACTTGTTCCCTCTGCTACTAGGGGTTCGTCTGCCTTCCTGACACCTCAGACTATCTCTCCACCTCTGGCTTTGTACTGCAGCTCCCACCTTATGTCTGATGCGAGACCTTGCACAACTTCCCGCCAAGACACAACTTCCAGCATCCTTACCCCAGCCTCTCTCGCCAAAGCGAGAGGACACAGGGGCCCAGGCATGCTCCCTCCCATGGGAGGAGCTCAGTGGACATGAGCCTGGTATATTGTTTTAGCTCAAGAAAGGGTCCATCCCATAGAGAGGAAGACAAACCAAGAGAGACTCCTAACTCTGGGACACAAAGTTTTGCAGAAGGGGAAGTGGATGGGGGGATAGGGTAACTGGGTGATAGGCACTAAGGAGGGCACATGGTGAGATGAACCCTGGGAGTTATACTATATGTTGGCAAATTGAATTTAAATAAAATATTTTAAAAATATAATAATAAAAAAAAAACCTCTTATTCCCTAGTGGGTCATAGTTTGGGTTACCACCTGAATCTGTGCTCCCCAACTGTAATTCTAAGACCTCAAATAAATGCTTTTGTTAAAAAAAAAAAAAAGAAAAAGAAAAGGTCCATCCCAGATCGAGTCAAGTGTCTCTTCAAACTCGCACCCCTCAAATGAAGGAGAAAGGGTTCTGGGGAAGAGGGGGCAAGTTTTCCCAAGAAAGCATGAGGCCTCAGGTGCACTGACTTACTACCGCATGCAGCTAAGGGAGGTACAGTGGAGAACTTCTATGGTATTTAACAGCAAAGGCTGGAGCAAATTCCATTCTCTTGAAGAGCAAGCCATGGAGGGAGTACAGGAGCAGGGAGGAAGAAAGAAGGAAAAAGAAGGAAAGAGGACATGCTTTGAAAAATAGAAACGTCTTATTCCAAATGCTGAAAGGGCTACGATTACCTTGTGTGCTGCAGCCAGCCATGGCATCTGGGTCCCCAGGGCTGGACTCGGTCGCCTGTTGATCTACACTCAGAAGCTGCAGCAAGAAACAAGGCATCAGGTAGGTCATCTGCAGTTTGGAGGGGACTTCACGACAGCCTCCAGAAATCAAGGCTGACTTGAGAGTGCATCTTCTAGGAAGATCTAAATGATATGTACGTACATTTCTGCTCTTCTCCCCAAAATTTATGGGGTCAGACAATGAGGATGCCAAAGCCAAAGAACCACTGCCAGGGCCAAAGCCCATCTCTCTGCCCTTCTGAAAGCAGAGTGCTGAGCATTCCCTGGGAGCTCAGCAGGGCCAGGCACCAGCCACCCTGACCCCACTCACCTTCTACTTCCAGGGCCACTGTTTGGGACAAAGGGCATAAAGGACTCTCCAGAGTCACTCTAAGAGGCAGGATAGCCCCTGGCCTCACTTGTAACCCTCTCCTCTCAGCCGCTCTCCTCTCCGCCTCCATACCAGGAAGAAAAAAGCCACAGGGGACAGCCATGAGGTCTGTAATGCTTTGGGCCAGCACAGCTTGGACGCAGGTTGGACATTTAACAAACAATCTTAGTTTCGGTGAGCTCCCAGACTACGCCCGGAGTTGGCATTTGCTCCTCCTAACCTTTTGTTTTCAGCAGATGGAATCAAGGGGTTGCTTCCAAGGTTGCCCTCCCTGCCTGAGCTTGGGCTTCGAGTCCAGGTCCACTTGGGCCACATGCTGTGTTGAATGTAGGCCCCATGGCTCAGGACACACTGTCCTGCTCTGAGGGAGTGGGTGGCTATGCAGCTTGCATTGTGTTTGAGTCATCGTGCTCTTGCAGATTTCTTCTTGAATGGATCATTCTGCCCAGAGAGGCCTTCTCTGCAGGGCAGGGATGGGGCACCTCTGCTCTCCTGCCCTGTCTTTGCCTGCCCATCCTCTGCTTGCATCCTCAGTTCCCACCCTGGGTGACCACATCTGCTCCATTACTACTGCTAGGGGGACAGTGGCCCCAAATAGACCATGTGCTTCAATGTTATGAACACCGTACACGTGTGTTCCTGTGCTACCTCAAAAAACGATTTCTGGATGCTTGTGTTATTTCAGTATTGCTCTGGGGACCTACTTGCAAATAATGAGCTCTGGGGGAGGCCTGGGAAGGTGAGATGGGCCCCTGCAGCTTGGTCCAATTCCAGCTCATGTAATTACATTCCTGCCTCCCTTGTCGCCCACCACTTCAATCAGATAGTGAACGGTTTTTCTCTCTTTCAACCAGGCTGGAGCTGTGGCAGGTGCTGGGCTGCAGCCCCCTCACCAACACCAAGAAGGGGAAGCGTGCCTGGGCAGGGACCTGCAGCCAGGTTTGGCCGGCAAGAACTGCACCTGTGGTGAAGACCCATAGCCACCTAACTGTTCCCTTTGATCCCACTTATGTGTGATATTGCACACACCATGTTCCCTCCTCAGCACGCCCGTCCTGCTGGTGGGGGTGGGGGAAATCGGGGGAGGGGGAATCATGCAGCTACCAATGCACACCTGCTTTTTCACAGAAGTCGCTATATGCCTACAAATGATGTTGGACATCTCTGTTGAGAATATTCTAAATCACACAAAAAAAGAACAATGCCCTCAAGGTTCATTTCCTTCCATGCTCCGTCCTGACTCTTAAATTTTTATTTATTTTTATTTTTTTTATTTTGCAGGGATGGGTTGTCAGTTGGACACTCAAGGTCCAAAGAAGCGCTGCTGGTAATAAAGAAATATAAATAAAACAAGAAAAATAAAAGGCCCAGCGGGACAAGGTCGGGAGGAAATTGGATTCATTTCATATTTTGCAGAAGAGGCACTGGCTTCCCTCTGGCTCCTGGTCAAATCTGGTTTTGAGAGGAGATGGCTCCTGGCAGCATATCTATCATGTCTTGTAAGCGGGGTGTCAAGGGTTTAATTTGAATTTGGCCCTCCTCGATGGCCAAGGCCACCTTGCCACACAAAAGCCACAGAGGTAATAGCTGTGCAGTTCACACGGCGTTTTCCATTAAATATAAAGGCAGCAGAGAAGGGGGAGAAGAAATATATTTATAGCACAGAATTTTAGTTGAAATTTGAATTTAGCAACAAAGGCTTACAACATAGCTCTTGCAGGAGAGGGCCGCTGAGAGGTGAGGCTGTGCATGTGGCTTCACATGAACACTCAGAGAGGCTGCATTTACTTATTCCCAGACACACTATGTTGACCAGTTGTTGGAATTAAAAAAGTCAGTTTGGGGGACGCCTGGGTGGCTCAGTTGGTTAAGCATAAGACTCTTGATTTCATCTCAGGTCATGATCTTGGGGTCATGAGATTGAGCTCTGCTTTGGGCTCCATGCTAGGTGTGAAGCCTGCTGATGATTCTCTCTCTCTTCCTCTCTCTCTCTGCCTCTCCCCCCCCCCCAGCTCATCTCTTTCTCTCTCCCTCTCATAAATAAAAAATTAAAAAGTCAGTTGGAATTTTGGCAAATAAGCTAAGTCTCCTCACCTCCCTTTCTTTTAGGGAGCTCTATAGCTAAGACACTCGCATGCAAATTCTGCCTACTACTATTTCTGGAGTAAATTTCCCACTCCTGGGTTTGGTCAACCAGGTAGTGTCAGATTTAAAAAGCTGTTCTTTGGGGGCAACTGTCTGCAATCACAGAAAATGTGAATTAAGATTTTAGGCTAGTTTCTCAAGGTAATCTTCAGAGCAGCTTCACTTTGCAGATGTTTAAGTGTAAAAATAATTGCATTCAAAACTATAAATTCTAAATTTTAGGACCTGTGGTTGGCTGTACCTTGGTCACCTCCAGTGCCTTTCTCACAATTTCTAGTCCACATCTCGGGTTTCCCTCCTGCCTGCCAGACGGCCACCAAATTAAAATTCCTAAAGCACCACTGGATCACATCAACTCCAAATGCCAACGTCTTTAAAGGCACTGCTAGGGTCTGACATCCATAAAATCTGTACCCAAATCATTTCAGTGAACATCCTTCATTACCTTACATTCCCCAACCAGGCTCCATGTTGACCCATCACCGTGTCTTTGCCAAGGCTGTACCGTGATGACCTTGCCTGTTATTCACACACCCAATCCCGCTCCACCTGTCAAGGCTGGTTCTTCCCCTGAAGCCGGGAGAAGTTTCTTAGAGTTTGTCCCGTCATCATGCCAAACTGTTAGTTCCATGAGGAGGGGATCCTGTTCAGCTCATGGTTCTGTATCCCACAGATCATGGCACAGTCTTTCGTGATCCCTGGAATGCAAGTCCCATCATCCATGTAGGAATATCAAACTGGCAAAATCTCAGGAACTTTCCTGCTATAGAAAGGAAGGCACTTCGTTTCATCTTGTCCTGCAGTTGTAGTCTTAAGCCATGGGAAAGAAAAGAATATTGCAAACGAAGTCAGAATGCAACATGCATGTGGCCAATCCAGCAGAGTGAATGGGTCAAAAGCAATGTGCTGAGCCAAGGGGTGCTTTTCCTTCCTGCATAAAAAAATCCCTCCCAGATGCATGGCCTCCTGCCCCTGTACAAGGGCTGCATAATGCACATTCTGCTTTTCTGTCTTCCTCTCTTTATCCAGACCTGTACTGAGAGGCGATTTCCATGACATTTGTCCATAAGGGGAAGTAATTAACCCCCCAGGGCCCCCTGGGAGAGAGGATGGTGCTGTAAAGGGGGGAAGCTCCTTGCTGTCCTCAGATGGGAGGGCTGCCCCAGAGGAGGGGGCAGCTGGCCAGCGCAGCCTTCCCTCTGTGCACGGGAATGAGTTTCATTGACTTCCAGACTTCCAGAGGTGTCTGTGGAATTGAAAAGTGCTGCCAGACCACGGGGTCCAAGAGAATGGGCCTCCCCTGGAGGGGAGGATGGCAGTGGCCCCTGAATCACCAGATCCTCCCCCCTCCCCAGGAGGGCCAGCCCAGAGAAGGGCCATGCAGACACACATTGCTTCCGCAGATGGTGATACACAAGGCGCTTGTAAGCTGGCGGTTTCTGAGTCAACGCACTAGGAGACAGGCCTTCCTCCTCCCTGATGATTTTATCATTAAAATGATGTGAAAGAAATCTCCATTTAAAGAGTTCTCAATACATAAAGACTTCTAACTCTGGGAAATGAACTAGGGGTGGTGGAAGGGGAGGAGGGCGGGGGGTGGGGGTGAATGGGTGACGGGCACGGAGGGGGACACTTGACGGGATGAGCACTGGGTGTTATTCTGTATGTTGGTAAATTGAACACCAATAAAAATTAATTTATAAAAAAAAAAAAAAAAATAAAGAGTTCTCAATAGTTCTGGAGAACGGTGTCATATGAGACCCAGTATTATCCGCCCACATACGGACGGTCCCCAACGTACGATGGCTCTCGACTTAGGATTTTTCAATTTTACGATGGTGCAAATGCAGTTAATACATTCATTACAAAGAAACTGTAGTTTGAATTTTGACTGTTAATTTTTTCCCCCAGGCTAGCAATCTGGGGCAAGATCCTTTCCTGTGATGCTGGGCAGAGGCGGGGGCCCCAGCTCCCTTTCAGCCACTCAGTCACCAGGGTAAACAACCACAGAACTCACAACTATTTTGTACCATAACCATCCTGTTCCTCACTTCCAGGACAGTGTTCAAGAAATTACATGAGACAGCCAACACTTTATTATAAAATAGGCTTTGTATGAGATGGTTGTGCTCAACTGTAGGCTAAAGTAAGTGTTCTGAGCACATGTCAGGAGGGCTGGGATAAGCTATGATGCTCCGTAGGTTAGGGGTATTAAGGATATCTTCAAATTATGTGGGTTTCTCAGGTTATAACCCCATCATAAGTCAAGGAAGAATTGTATTCTATGCTCCAGAGAAAAAAGAGTAAACCAGCGATAAAACACTCATCAATATCCTTCTGGTGTGAAAGTGTGGGGTGGTGCATCAAACGTCACACCCAAATCCAGAGGCCACTTTCCAGGACCTGGGGTCCTTGACAGGATGGAGAAGGACGTTCCACAATCTCATCATTAGGACTGCTGTTGGGGGGTTCTCGCCATCAAGATCCAGAAGCAAAGGGCTCTGAGAAGTCCTGCTGCTCTCCATAGAGTAGTGGGCACATAATCACTCATCCTTCCATGGCATTCTCTCTGCTGGAAATGGGAGTAACAACTCACAAAAGGGAGGATGGAGAGGCAGGCCCAGGTTGGCCCCAGCATGGATCTGGAATTCTGATGGCCTCTAGCAGCAGGTGGAAGGGTGAGAGCAGAGCTCCTTCTTCTTCCCAAGGCAGCCGTGGAGAAGCACACCTCTGTGGGCTTGCTAGGGGTCTCCAACCCTGTCTACTGCCCTGCCTGGTGCCCCTGCTGGTTACAGGGCAGAGCTGACCATCTGATGCTTGGTCAGCCTTCCCCTCCTACCTTTGATAGGCTTCCCTCCCTGACCCTGGCTCAGCTGGTCCCATTCTCTGGGCCCTTCCACATCTCCTTGGTAAGCCCTCATGCCCTAAGGCCAATGTCCTTCTAACTATCTCCTAACTTCTCTCCTCCTTGCCAAAGGTCTCACAAGAATTCCCAAAGTGTCTCCCCAGAAGAGCAACATAGCAGCAGAGCTGGGACTTGGTAGGAAGGCAAATTCTTTACAGGATTCTCCTTCCCAATCCTGACTCAGAAACTCTGGGGGTGGGCTCAGCCACCTGCATTTGATTGACAAACCTGGGAGGCCCTCTGGAGTCCAAAAACTACCAGCCCACACCCTTGCTACACCTCGTGGCCCACCCCCTCCTCTAGCCAGTGCCAGCACCTGCTCCACTGCCCCACTGCAGCTGCTCCTGCTGAAGCTGAAGGAATGCTGCTTTCACCGGCATTCTCTGGATCGTGAGCCAGAGGGAGCTGGGTCAGCCCTCCACAGCCTCTGGGCACCACCTGACCCGTCTCTTCCTTCCTGAAGCGCTGAGTCTGTGAGTCCAGGCCCTCGAGGACCCCCTCTGTGCTCTACTGACTCTGCAGCCTGTCCTGTTCCTCGAGCACTCAAAGTATTGTCATTCTGTAGTGGTCTCCCACCCCTTCCTGGTTCCCCGGAATTCAGTGACTGCCTCTGTGGCCAACCCGGAGCTCTCCAAGGCCACAAGCTAGAGATCCGATTACCCGGTGGACACCTGCTTGGGAGGTCCTGATGACCCCTGAATCCAACGAGCTGCCTTGAGCAGGTCACCCTCTACCCACGTCACATTCATGTCAGACATCCTGAGCAGCTTTCTGTTTTGAGGACACGCATGCTGTGCTGCCCCTCCTTCTGAGCCTTGCCACCTGCCACAACCTGCTCAGCCTGAGCCCTCAGCTCACAGAGGCTCCCTGGACCCCCCAACTATGAATTGGATGCCCCTGCCCAGTGCCCTCCAGCAGGACAGAGGGCTCCCTCAGAGTCCTTATGATTCTCTTTACAGGACACAGTTTTCATTGGTAATACTGATTTGAATTACTTTTATCATTAAGAGGAAAATAAATCACTTCAGAATGGCAGAACTCTTCACTCAGCTTTTTACGAAATTCAAGAGAAATCCAATTATTGTGCGTTTGAAAACGAGATTTTGCAGGCATGCCTCTCGCTAATAAATCCCGCCAACCCCCGGACTGGCAGCTCCCATGCATCTGTTTCTACTGTGGGCAGAAAAAAGGTCAAGAGTCCCTGGCCGAGTCCCACTCTGCTGTCTGCAGCCTAATGAGCTGGTCCAGGATGCTCCAGGGCAAGAGCAGGAGAGAAGGCCCTTGACTGTGTGCAAGGGTGAGCAGTCCCACCCAGGTGACCCTCAAGGACAATCCTTCTTGCAACAAATGTGTGGCCAACATCCCACTGGGCCTAGAGGTAGGCACATCTTGCCTTCTCTTCCAGTCCCACAACCGTCCAGCCTGCAGAATGTCATCTCCCTTGGGGATGCGATCATCTACAGAGGCTTGCGGACGCTAAGTCTGATCAGCCATCATGCAGAAGTTTCTCCACCCACAGATGTCCCTGTGGGCCAGGAGCTCCTGAGTGGGTGGCTCGGGAAAGGATGGGCACGTCTCCTGGCCTTCTCACTCACCACATGGGCCCAGGATGTCAGAGGACATTAGAAGGTCTACGCCAAGTCTGAGGCCTGCACCTCTTCCTGGCAGGTGGCTCAGGGTGCTGCTGAGAAGTCCCAAGGTATGTGGGTGCAGACGGGCTCCGGAGAGTGCTGTGATGCCCTTCAGTTGCTCCTGGTCCTGGTCTTGCCTACTCTCTCCTCTGTCCCGTGCTCAGATCTCAGAACTCGCTGCAGCCTCTGCTTTGGCAGGATTTCTCAGTTCCCTAAATGTGCCCCTTCTCTGTTTATCTGCTGTGCTCCTCACATGCGCCCCCAACCTTGTGGCCTTCCCACAGCCAGTCCTGTACTCGGGTGCTGTGTGAACTTTTCAGTGTTGCCATCTCTCTGCCCTGGCTAGTGGCCTTCGATATGCCAGAGTGACAACTGTGATGATAACAGTCACGATGACAGTAGTACCATAAAACGGGCAACTGACTTTTGCTAAAACCTGCTCTGTGTCAAGTGCTGTGCTGGATCCACTGCTATGTGCTTGGTAATATTATGATCCCCATTTTACAGACGAGGAAACTGAGATCTGCCAACACATCCCCAGCACATGCCCACAGTGGGTCAGGAACCCCAAGGTGGTGGGAGGGCTTGGCTCCCCTCGCTCAGAGAAGGCCTATTACACCCACCTGGTGGCTCTGGCACCAGGCCTACAGCTGCCAGGCATCAGGCAGGACTAGGGATCCTGGACTAGTGTCTCACCTCCCCCGTGGACAATGACAGAGGCACGGAGCTGAAATAGGCCGGGGTGCCTTGGGTATGTGGTTCACGGCCTGAGCTCTATCCCCAGGGTCTCTGCTCCCAGGTTTGAACCTGCACCAGCTCCTTCTGCACTGTGTCCCCAGATATACCACCAGCCGGTGTGAGGCTCAGACGCATCTGAAAGGAGCTGCAGGGGAACAGCACAAATATTGGGTTGGCATCCTTAGGCCTGGGGTGGGATTTCTGCAGTTTCTACTCTCTGAGCCTGCTGCCTCCTGTCCAAAAAACCACAGAGAGAAATACAAACGCAAGGAGTGGGCCTTATTATAGGGCAGTGGCTTGTCTGGGGCTGAGGTCTCACCTGGCTGGCGGTGGTCGGGCCCACCACGGCCTCGTAGGGCGGGGGGAGCTCGGCAGGATAGAGCAGGCCGGGGCTGTTGATGGCAACATCATACAAAGTGCTGAATGGAGAGGGAGCAAAGTCCAAGTGGAGGCCCCTGAAAAGGCAGAACCATGACACTGTCGCTCCCGGGAGAAGGAGCCTGAACTGCTGACATTTCTCTTAAAAGCGATCAGACCATCACTCGTCAGGGTTTCCCCTGGTCATATACTCATTGTGTTTTTGAAATAAAAGGCTCATTCTCTAGGCAGTTTTACCTTTTGGCTTTTTCGTTTTGTTTTGTTTCTTCTTTTTTCCTGGAGAGATATTGACATTTTCAATAAACTCTCTGGCCCTGTCCATTAAAATTAAAATAATCATAGAGCCGATTAAATGTTTAATTAAATTTTATAGGTCATGTTAATGACCATAACTCAATGGCACTTTTGCATTTCAAGAGAACATAACAGAGCCGCTCTTGTCGGGCTAGTTTTACTTTTTGTGTTTTTTTCTCACTGCAGTGAGAGCCAGAGAAATGCTCTCTAAGCCAGCGCTCTCTCGCCGGGCACCGTTCATGCTCTACTCTCTAATCAAACACGCCTTTCAGATGTCCCCTCTCCTCAGCTCAACTGCCCCAGTGCAAACAAGCACGGCTATCGCCAATTCCACATCCTGGACTGCTTCTACCTTCCTTGCATCCCCGAGGGTCGCTGCCACCATCAGCGGCAAGACCCACCTGTGGGCCTCAGCGGTGGGCGTGCAGGTGTACTCTGGCGGGTAATAGGGCGGAGGTGGGAGCGGGGGGATGAACTCATCGAAATCCAGGGTCTGGTGGAGCACGGTGCCATGGGGGGTCACGCAGGCCGGGCTGGCGGAATGCGCCCTTTGCGGAAGGAACTAGAAAACAGAAAGATCCAGAGTTATTCGGGATATCTTGTGTGGCTTGTGTCTAATTAAGCTGATTACACATAAGCTTTAATGGTCTGTTCAGAACTTATGTAATTTAAACCATCGGGCTATGACGGCGAAACACACGCTTCAAAATGATGGCTCCATGAGGAATGCCTCGCCCCCAAACTCCTTCGTTAGGCTTTGTTTCTTGCACTGCTACACAGAATGCCTCCGTTCTCAGGAGAAATACAGTCTGGGGAGTCTTTAATTCTATTCCCACCCTGAAATCTTTCTCTTCAGATTATACTACTCAAAGCCCGTGGGTCAAAAGGGTGCCTGATATCCATAAATTCAGATAGCCCTTCCCAAAGTGCATTCGTGAGAAACCACCAGACCCTCCAGATGTTCATCTCCAACCCCCTGTCAAATTCCTACAGTGAAAGAAATTTGGGAAATGCTACAGATCATTCTCCCCTCTTGGAGCCCTATAACACATGTTAGTGTGTTAAAAGCCCTGAGAAGTTCTGTATTAAAAAAAAAAAATATCTGTTTAACCCATTCACAGAACATTCTCAAATATTTCATTATGGGTCCCTTTGGACACATAGGACGAATGAATACATCTTGATCCTAGGATTCATAAACTTGGTAGAATACTTTTCCCTTAGGAAAAGAAACCATGAGCTCCAGAACATTCTGGGTGCAACCTTAAAGCCAAGATGCTGCTTGAGCAAACAGGTAAAATCGCTTAAACAAAAAGAACCCCACCTCTGCCTAGTTTTCCATTTCTGCCCACGGGAAGCACTGGCCAATAACTTCCCATCCTCTGGTCACTGCTCCCCAGAGGTTACCTGTGGCATGGAGATGTCTGAGCCATTCCTCTATTTCCAATTAATACCTCACTGTGGGTGCCTGCCGGTGCAGGAAGACTCTGTGCTACTCGAACACTGGGACCTCCCACCGCATGGAGGGTGAGGGATGGGTGAGACAATCAACTATACATGGCCGAGCAAGGACAATTCCGCTAGTAAACAAGCTCTCCAAGCACTGTGCAGGGATCTGGAGTCAACAAAGCGTTAATGAAGATGACTCTTGAATGGTTCTGAAAATTGGTAGGATTTCAAGAGGTGGGCTTACAAGAAGGTACGCCAGGCTCAAGAAAAACAGGTGAGCTGATGAAACATGTGTTTAAGAAAAGCAAATTTATATAAGACTCTAGAAGTTAATTCTTAATTCTGGAGGCACTGGGGAGCCAGGGAGGGTGCTAGAGTCGGGGAGTAGCACTATTAAAGCTGCATGGTAGGGAGTGCCTTCTGGCAGCAGTGGGTAGGGTGGTCTGGACTTGATAAGAGTCTGGGTTGGTAGGACATTTTTGCACAAGCATGGGTGAGGTCACGATCCTGAATGTGATCAAATGCCATGAATTTATCATGCTCTGGATTAACGGAGAAAGAATAGTGACCGTGTCTACACACATAACACATCGGACTGAAATTGTCTCTTCTGGGCTTTCTTAGCACACAGAGCACGTTCCTTGCCTTTTCAGCAGGCCTGAGCCATGGCTTTGTTTAATTATGTGAAACAGAGGTGAGTCAGTGGCTATGAGCTGAATGTGTGTCTATCGTACTCTGCCTGGGAAAGCTGTCGGCCCTGATGCTTATTGCCCAAAGCAGATCAGTTAGGACAAGGCCAAATGTCCTTGAGATCTAATAGGGACATATTTTGAATTAGTCTCTATCAGAAATTAGAAAAATCAATAGCACACTCAAGCATGAAATGCAAAAGCCAGAATGCTTTCCTATTACATATACAATCCCACCAGGAATGGGAATAACAAGCATTTTCAAGGAGAGAGGTGTGGCGCTCCAGATGATCCTATTAGCAGGTTTAAATTTGTAGATGCTGCCACACACCAGAGGTTTTTTAAGGGCTAAATGACAGGTTTAACCACTTCTGCTCTAAACTCCAGATCACCTTTCCGGTGGTGTGTTGGCTCCATCTTTGGGGAAGCAACTCAAGACACAGCTTGCTGCAAACTGTCCTATTCACCTAGGTTCCTCAGCCTTCCCAGGCGGAAGCCTGCAAGTGACACTTGACATACACCCCCCCCCCCCGCCATCAATATCTCTCTAATGAGGTGGGGTCTGTCTCTAAGCCCAAGGTCACTGCTCGGAATGGCTCTGAGATGCCAGGGCTGGAAGTCTGCAAACCACGTGGCCCAGACTCCCGGGTTAGTTGGTTCCCTGTTGGGCTCTGCCACCTGGGGACATTAGAGGGAGCCTGGAAGAAGAGAGCTCCTGTTCTCCACTCCTACCCTGTGTTCCACCCTAAGGGGTGGAAGCTGCCTCGATGGATGCTCATCCTGTGTATGTTCCCTCTTCCTGGATGTTCCCCACCTTCCTTTCACCTGGCAACCTCCTAGTCATCCTTCAGGAGCTGGCAGGCATGCCCCCGGCCAGCCCACCCACCACACACTTCATGCTCTCACATCTGCAAAGGAGTGGCCAGGCGCAATAAGCCTGCATTGGGCTGTGGTGGGTGGAAAAGTGGCTCTGAATCGTCACTTCTTTCCCAGGTGGGTCACCTGCAACTGCCCTGGTTGTCCCCGTGGAGTGGAGTGGTGCTGGTACCTGGCTGAGGTGCCCACACACCTGATGCAAGCATCATGCTGCCCAGCGCTTGTCATCCACAATCGAGAAGCGTTTTAGCCCCTCCTCATCTGTCTACTCTGCAGAGGGAACCCCAACATGGGCATGCGCTGTCCCTCCAGGTGCACTGGAACCAGGGTGGAGGGCTGGGGTACCACCTGGCCTAGGGCATCTTCCCAAGGCCCATCGATAGAGACCCTAAAATTTGGTTCCATAAGAACAGTCTGCTGGGGGTTCGAGGAGGTGAGTGGGCTTGGGTGACCCTGGCTGACCACTGAGGGCCCATGAGACTGTGATCACGTTTCTGGTCCCTTTGAGTCTCAATCCTCCTCCCTGACCCCACCTGGCCTGACAGGTCACACTGGGAAACACCACTTCCCAGTCAGAGACCCAGATGGCAGACTTGTGTGGCTTAAACAAAGGACCAGATCACTGGTATGAGCTCTGCAGCCCTAATGCCTCCATCTCCTGCCACAGGGGCTGGTGGGGGAGTAAGGGATGGAGGACAGGACAAGGGGCTAGAATTTCCAGGAACTCTTTTGGGTTCTGGGCTGCTTTTTCTCCTCTGGGCAGGCCTGCCAGCCTCCTTTTACATCCCTCCCCAGGCTCCCGACCAGCCCCTCACACCCTCCGGCTTCCCTACCACGCTCTAGCTACTGAATGATTGCCCACATCTTTGAGATTTCCCATAAGGACTAAGAAATACAGGGCAATAGCCCTCTTCCTCTACCCTTCCCGAGACTTGGCAGAAATACTCTAATATTACTACAGGAGAAGTTTTCTTAATCGACTTTTCATCGCCAACTGACCGGATGAGCTGGGTTTCCCCTCCCGGTACAGACCCTGCAGTCCTGCCTGCCCGAGGCACACTGCTGCTCTCTGGTCCTGCCAGGACGCCAGGCATGCCAGGTGCCTTCCCTGTCTACCCGGGGCACAGGGGTGCATTCCCGAACAGCTAAAGGCCAGTTTAATTACTGCTGTAATTCATCATGACATGAATGCAGGCGAGAGAACTTGCTTGTTCTATGAGAACCCAGTCGAATGCTTTGGAAAGACTTGACAAAGGAGAGCTACTGAGCAGAAAGTGCTGCCAAGCTGGGTCCTGGCCAGGCAGCTATAAGGGAGTGGACAAGAGTCATAAAACATCCAGGGGAGACCTGCATTCTGCTCATTTTGCAGGTCTCTCGCTCCAATTTAAAGGAACTGAATCTGGAAATCACAGATGGTGCAACTTTTATGAAGTTTATACAAGAAATACAACTTGAAACACCAAGACATAGACCCACAATTGAACAGAAGATCTTGGCCCCAAATCAAAACCCTGCTGGACAGAGGCTCATCTGCATATTTAAAGTCAAAATGTTTGCAGCATATTCCTTTCACTGTTAGGACTGTCTGCTGTAACTAGCCTTTAAGATATAGGGGGCGCCTGGGTGGATTGGTCAGTTAAGCATCTAACTCTTGATTTCGGCTCAGGGTGGTGAGATCCAGCCGTGAGTCAAGTTCCACATTCAGTGTGGGTCTGCTTGAGAGTCTTTCTCTCCTCTTCTCCCTCTGCCACCCCCCCTAAAAATAAATAAATAAAATCTAAAAAAAAAAAAGATTAATCTGACACTTAGTTCTAGTCTGATAGATAAGTAGCACCTACTACACAGAGATGTTTCTGTTAAACCCAGACCTCAAGGAAGATCACTGTGGGTCCAAGGAGGGCCAGTCTCTGTGGGGCACTAGGGTGAGCTGGAGAGGTGAAAATGCTTGTAAATCTGAGTGATTCTGGGAATTCCAGAGGGTGGTGTTACAACCACCCTTGACCCTTTGCTAGTTCCATGGGCAAAGACCACAGCAAGCATGTCTGGGAAAGGCGTGGCACTCTGCACTTTCTGGAGGCGTTCTGCTTTCCAGGGCATATGACTAGTGTTGAGAACATAAATGACAATAATAAAAGATGAAGTTCACTAGCAAGTGCCTAATGGAGGCACATGTAATAGCATATGATGTCCCTTAAAGTCGCTGGCAATAAAGTTCATGAGGAGGAAAGAGCTACATGAAAAAATGGGAAAAATGAAATTACGCTCAAGGAATAAAACTAAAAATGTGAGATTAGAGACACAGAGGTAAAAGCTTTCTCCACGAAACTATCAATAAACTGAATTTTATAATCAGTTGCCTTTTGCCACTATTTCCAAAACATATTAGAGTACTTCAGCCTTACAAATTCTGATGCTAGACATCAAACTTTGCATCTCATGTATACATGCATTCATGATATAAGTTCCAAAAATGGTTAATTATCCCAAGATGTGAATCCCCAGAAGTAAGGAGGAATTATGGGTTCCCCTGGAGCCAGGCTAAGGCCCTCACTGTGAGTCAGTCTGCTGTCTGGAGTGCCTCGTAGCCTTTGGTGCCTAAACGACAATCATGAGAATTATCTTGCTTCCCATTTCTGTTTTTGGAGCAGAGCTGGAACTTAATGGTACTTGTGAAACAACATGTATGCAGACACCTATATTTTTAAAAAGTTGTATCCCAACCCCTACTAATTGTCTCATTCACATCCAAATTGACAGCAATATATCTAGGGACCCTTTTTCACTGAATCTTTCCAAAGCACTTTTTTTTTTTTTTTTGGTTAAGCAATGATCTTTTTTGCACTCACATTTCATTGGCTTATGTAGCACTACAGTATGTACTCACAAGCCAAATACTACTGGCCTAGACTGGTTTGGGGACAGCTACAATTGTCCCTTGGAAAACTTGTGACCCAATTGCTGGGAGCAGAGCTGGCATGTGGGTGAACCCCAGAAGCTGCCAGTGGGTGACTGTGCCATGAGGAGTGGGCAGGGCACATTATGGGTGGGATAGAGAACTGTGGCCACTGAGCCAGTGGGTTTAGCATAAGTAGACCAAGAGAGCTAGGCCTGTATGTGCAAGGAGCTTCTGGTAGCACCATCTGCACAGGCCTAAACAAAACCAAAATCAAAACCAAGAAACGACTCAAGCACCCACACATAGAGAAGTGGCCAATTGATTGACATTACATCCATGGTACAGATCAATGTTGACATGAAGACATTTCTGTGTATAATGACATAGAGGATGTCTGTGATAGTTTCAGGTTATAAAGTCAAGTTTCAGAGTGATATGAATGGTGTGATTCCATGTAGTTAAAAGGAAGACAACAAGTGGCAGCTGGGAGGCTCAGTCATTTGGGCATCTGCCTTTGGCTCAGATCATGATCCCAGGGTCCTGGGATAGAGCCTTGTGTTGGCTCCTAACTCAGCAGGGAGGCTGCTTCTTCCTTTCTCCTTGCTTGTGCTCATGCTGTCTCTCCCAAATAAATTAATATTTAAAAACAAAAAAAGGAAGACATAAGGGAAGAATGGAGGGAAGGAGGGACAAGGAAGATAGACTATTTGTTTACGTTAATATAAACCTAAGAAATCAAGAAAGAAATGGAAGGATTCGCTGTAAACTTTCCTCAGGAGTATGAGGTGGGAGAAGGTAGGTTATTAACTTTGTCTTTATATATCTATTTTTCTTGTTTCAGTGATCATATATTACTTCTTTAATTAATCAGTCTAATGAAGTGAAGTCAGAAAATTAAAGTCAAGTCAAATTAAAGCTGGAAAAAGAGGAGAAGACTTTTCTAAAAAATTAAAAAGAACTTGTGAGGCATGCTCATGAATAACTCAATTCCAGGTTCCATCGCTCGGGTCGAACCATAAGCCCCTGGGCCTCCTCTCTTTTCCTTTTTCCCAGATGCGGCCTGTGTGGCCAGCCTTGCCCAGCCTCTGACCCATGTGGTAAAAGCCAACCTCCTCCACGTGGCCAGCAGGGTTTTTCAAAGCACATGCACATGTACTATCTGATTCCTCCCTCAGCGGCCCCATGAGGACAGAAAAGTATGAACAGTCTTACATAGAGCAGAGAAAACTGGGATAAATAGGCAGTGACATGCCCCAAGGTCACTCACTGGTCCCACAAGGCACCATGGTCATGTGCCACTAGTTCCCTTTTGACTCCCCGGAGATGCTGCAGGTCAGCGGCACAGCCAGGGACTCAGAAGGAGAGCAGAGCCTTGTCTGGTCCTGTAACCCCTGGTAGCAAAGGGAAAAGGACTCACCAGCAGGGATTTAACAAATTTCTACTTCCATGCTAGGGGCTAGAAGCAAACTTATTCCTGAATACCCAGCAAGAGAAAAACCAGAGGCCCTCATGGTGGCTGTGTTCATTATGACAAGACCTCACTTCCCTATGGTGTTTTATAGTTGACAGGAGATCAAGGACCATGGCACTCATGGTCATGGCTGCAGGAGATTCCCAATAACAAACCAATACCCCCCTCCCCGCATTTAAGAGTCAAATAGGTTACACTTCTTGAATGTTCACCAGGTATGCCATTAGGTCCTCTTTGGAGGTGAGGAAACCAAGGCTCCGGTAGGTTTGGTGACACGTCTAGAGTCACTTGCTTCATATGCAGAAGAGGTGGAACTCTGACCCAGACGTGGCTGATTCCAGGCCCACTCAGGTGCCACATGGTGGAATGACAGCATGACCCTGCATCGATGTTATTGGTGTATATGCCGTCACAGCCACCGTACACCTGATTTGGATTTAGTTGGTAATTTTCACTCTAATGCTTCAAACCAGGGAAGGCAAAATTTTACACTGATAGCCCTTTGGTTCTGTTAGTTTGGTCAAATTGGTGTGGTATTTACAAATCAATAGTAAAATGTGCGGAGGTGAATAGAACCCCACGGTACTTAACCTTTCCTTTATACAACACACCAGAGAAAATCACCAACATGAGGCCTCGGTGAGCGAGGCCAAAAGTTCATCACAGCTGAATAACTGTTTAATTAGATCCCTTTCAGAAAACTGCCACCTCTCAGAAAGGTCAGCCCGGCTGTGACAGCTGTGTCACAAAGAGGCGGACGTTGCATATGATTAGAACCAATGAATTTTTAACATCTTGGTAATGATGCTCTCTGGCCCTGTAACTTGATGAACTGATGTATCGCCATGGGGTGGATAAGAAAGAGCAAATAAAACAGCCTACTACAAGAATAACTTGCTTTTTATTTTATGAGATGCCTAAGACACTGAGAGGGAAGCAGGGTAGGTCTTGAAGAAGCAAAAAGAGAGAGACAGAGACAGAGATGAAGACAGAGACAGACACACAGATGATTCTACCCTTAGCACCGGAGAACGTATCTTCCCATCAGTTTCTGGTTTTTGTAATGTTTTTAGTGGTAATATACTGTACAGTGGGCTGCGTTTCATTCACGTCCAAATAATGAAGAGTCTTCATTATTTATTAAGGGTGTACTTATAAATGTATATTAATAAGTGTGTGACCCTTGGTTCTATTCTCATTTCTCCCCCGTGGGAGCAGCAGTTCGTGGACTGTAAGACCCTGGTGGGGGGGCAGTGGGTAGTGTCAAATGATGGCCAGCTAGTGACTCCGCCACTAAATTATGAGCTCAGGGTTAATTAGCAAATCTAAAAAGCACAGATGAGCAGTTTTTCAATTTGAAAGGAACTCATTTTCTAAAAAACCTTCCTTTATTAAAAGAAAATTCTGCAGCTTGAGGAAGCACTTTGCTCTGGAGATTCTGGGCCCAGAGGGTGTCTAGGGCTATAGGACTGTTACTAAAATTACTCAAAGGCACACACAAGAGGCCATCCAGGGGACCAAGAGGGTGGCAGGACTCTGTTAACATGCAACTCCAACGATGCCTAAAAGAAATACATTAGTGGCACCAAAGGTACAGGTGCTCAGCATGAGGTGACTGCCAAGCACCATGACTCTCAGGGCCCATTACCCTTGGGACTTCTGGTTGGAAGCTACAAGTGTCTACTCTCCGTTGCTTGCTCTTTCTTTCTTTCTTTTCTTTCTTCTTTCTTTCTTTCTAGATTGTATTTACTCATGAGAGACACACAGAGAGAGAGGCAGACATAGGCAGAGGGAGAAACAGGCTCTCTGCGGAGAGCCTGATGCTGGACTCAATCCCAGGAGCCCGGGATCATGACCTGAGCCAAAGGCAGATGATCAACCTCTGAGCCACCCAAGTGCCCCCTCTCCATTGGTTTCAAAGTAGCTTGGGAAGGAAGGGGCCCACTCACCATCTGCAGGACATCGGAAGAGACCATCTGCATGCAGCACATGGCTGTGGCCAACGCGCACACGATGGTGGAGAGGACATTGAGGGCGCACACGCTGAAGAGGAGATCCTGTGAGAGAAAAATGCAGCAGAATGTCAGTCTCATCTGACAACATGGCAGATCCTTAGTATTTCCATCAAGGTCTAGAATGAGTGTGGCCAAATGCCATCCACTCCACGTAGGTTTTTCTTTTATAGCCTGTTGTTCTTTTTTTTTTTTTTTTAAATAATCAAAACTGGCCTTTAATAGAGACACATTTGTTATCCTTCTATGGTGCTGATCAAATTATTCTTAGATACTAAATGATGTATTTCACACTTTCAATCACTACCAGGCACTCACTGAGAAAATCTTGAAATCATCAACATTTCAGTGGGTGGGCTATCTTTGGCGATTAAAATATAACTCAAAATTTTGAAGAGTTTAGTAAAATGCCAAGCTTTTTAATTAAACTTAAAAAAAAAGATTTTATTTATTATTCATAAGAGACACACAGAGAGAGGCAGAGACATAGGCAGAGGGAGAAGCAGGCTCCCTTTGGGGAGCCTGATGTGGGACTCGATCCCAGGACCCTGGGATCACGACCTGAGCCAAAGGCAGATGATCAGCCACTGAGCAACCCAGACATCCCTTAATTAAACTTTTTACCTTGAAGTACCAGTAGATTCACAGACAGGTGTAAGAAATAATACAGAGAAGTCCTGCCTACCCTTTGCTCAGTTTCCTCCATGGTAGCATCTTACAAAACTATAGTAAAATATCATGACCAGGACTGACAAGTGATGTAGTCAAGATCTAGAACATTTCTATCACCACAAGGATCCCCACCCCACGGTGACCTTTCAGAACACACGTACCTCTCTCCCCCTCCTTCAGCTCCATCTCTCATTCCCAAACTCTATTAACCGTTAGTCTGGTCTCCATTTTTATAATTTTGTCCTTTCAAGAATGGTACACGAGTGGAATCGTACAGCACATAACCTTTCAAAACTGGATTCTTTCACTCAGCATAATTCCATCAAGATTCATCCACTCTGTCCCATGTGATCATTCCTTTTTGTTGTTGAGCAGTATTCCATTGTGGATATACCACAGTTTGCTTACTAGGGCATTATGTGAGAAATATCTGTGTTGTTTTCAGTTTGGGGCTGTTACAAATAAAGCTGCCATGGATGTTTGTGGGCAGGTCTTTGTGTGAACCTAAGTTTTTACTTCCCTGGGAAAAATGTTCAACAGTACAATTGCTGGGTCAGATGGTAATTGAATGCTTAGTTTTGTAAGAAACTGCCAAATTGTTTTCCAGAGTGGCTGAATCATATTACTTTCCTACAGAAATGTATGAATGATCCAGTTTCTCTGTTTCCTTGCCCACATTTCGTATCACTATTTTTATTTTAGCCATTCTGATAAGTGTGCAATGATATACCATGATATACCATGTCTTTTTAATGGCTGAATAATATCCCATTGTGTATATATACACCACATCTTCTTTATCTATTCATCTGTCAGTGAAAATTGGGCTGCTTCCATAATTTGGCTATTGTAAATAATGCTGCTATAAACATAGGGATACATGTATCCCTCTGAATTAGTGTTTTACATTTTTTGGGTAAATACCCAGTAGTGCAATTACTGGATCATTGGGGTAGTTCTATTTTTAACTTTTTGAGACACCTCCATACTGCTTTCCAGAGTGGCTGTGCCAGTTGGCATTCCTACCAAAAGTGCAAGAGGGTTCCTTTCTCTCCACATCCTCACCAACATTTATTGTTTTTTGTGTTTTTGATTTTAGCCATTCTGACATGTGTGGGGTGGTATCTCACTGCAGTTTTGATTTGCTTGAAATGTATTTCTTAAATAATAATACTTGAAAGTTAAAATCCTCCTTGATCTGAGACTACAGAACGGATGTTGTATTGACAGGCCTGAAAACAACATTAATTTCATTGTATGTCCATCAAAGTCAGTCTGTATTTTGAATCTTTGAAGCCAGGCATTGACTTTTCCTTTCCAGCTACAAATATCCTAGATGGATGGCATCTTCTTCCAAAATGAGGTTATTTTGCCGACATTGAAAATCTACTGTTGAGTGTAGCCACCTTCATTAACTTAGATCTTATGGATAACTAGTTGCAGCTTCTACATCAGCACTTGCCATTTCACCTTGCACTTTGATGTTATGGAGATGGCTCTCTCCCTTAAACCTCAAGAAGCAACTGCTACTAGCTTCAAACTTTCCTTCTGAGCTTCCTCCCTCTCTCAGCCTTTGTAGAACTGAAGAGAGATAGGGCCTTGCTTTGGATTAGGCTTTTGTTTAAGGGAATAGTGTGGCTGGCTTGATCCTCTTTCCAGACCACTACACTTTCTCCCCATCAGCAATAAGATTCACTTTCTTAACATTCATGTGTTTACTGGAATAGCATTTTTAATTTCCTTCAAGAACTTTTCTTTTGTATTCACAAATTGGATAGCTGGTGCAAAAGGCCTAGCTTTTGGCCTATCAGAGCTTTCAACATGCCCTTTTCACTAAGCTTAATCATCGCTAGCTTTTAGGTTAAAGTGAGAGACATCCAATTTGTCCCTTCACTTGAACACTTAGAGGCTGTTGTAGGGTTATTAGTTGGCCTAATTTCAACATTGTTGTCTCTCAGGAAGCAAGGAGACTCAAGGACAGAGAGTGAGCTACAGAATGGCTAGCCAGTGGAGTGGTCAGAATACATATAATATTGATCAATTAAGTTCACCATCCTATACATGGGCATGGTCTGTGATGCCCCGAAACAATCATAATAGTAATATCAGAGATCACTTCTCACTGGCCACCATAACAAATATAATAACAATGAAAGTTTGAAATACTATGAGAATTGCCAAAATATGAAAGAGATATGAAATGAGGAAATGTTGTTGGAAAAACGTTGCCAACAGATTTGCTCAAAGCAAACCTTCAATTTGTAAAAAACGCAGTATCTGAGAAGTACAATAAAATGAAGCACAGTAAAACAAGGTATTCCTGTAATGATATCTCCTCCAATCTAATCTTATTCATACAAAAATGTACAAAATACTGTACATACTCAAAAAGCTATCAGGAAAAAAAATGGATCTTTCACCTAAAAGACAATGGTATTAATGAGGCTAGTTTCAATGATCGAATCAAGGGGTTGACAAATCCTCAAGAGAAAATATACTCATTGTATTTCCTCAGGGAATGCTTGATATATGCACTAGGTATGTGTCCAAATGACCTTTTGGTCTGAGAGCATTCCCAGTGGTTTTACTCATATATACATGAAACGTATTCTTATCTATACCATCCTTTAAGAAAGTTCCCCAATTTCCTGTAAATTATTGTGATCACACCTTTGTGCAACCCCTTTCCCTGCTCATTTGCTCTCAAAGCTGCCTTGTAAAATAGCCAAAAGGAGGATGATAATGATAATATTATAGGGAACAAAATTAACATACCATGTTTAAACATATCCCCAATGTTAAATCATTCAATGACAATGTGAAGAGAGAGAACTGAATCTTGTTTGTAATATTTGTTAGGCAGAAGAGAGAAGAGTTTGGTCTAGGGCTAAGTATTCCCCATTCCTGAGGTAAGAGTGTTCTGGGCCCTCTGAACAAGGTGGGAACAGGTGCTACTCTCAGGCCTGCACCAATTTCTAAACCTTTTTCTGTGATTCTTTTTTACGATTCCAATAGTTTCTTCATATGCATGGGCTAATCAATATTCGATTGACTACTCCAGGGGGATCCTCTGAAGATCTCAAAATTCTCTTCCCTCCACTACTCTTGTCCCGGGAACTCTAGTCCCCAGGCCTTAGTCTCCCTAATTTTCTTAGCTCTATGTCTCCAACTCTGGGAGTCTGCAGCAGGGATCCTCCTGAGATCCCCTATGACCTGGAGGCTTCGAGGCTATAAGCTGGGGCCCCTTGAGGGCTTACCTCATTTGTTGACCATATTTCAGGATCACTGTCCTTATTGCCTGGTGTGTCTTCACATTTTGTCTCTTTTGGTTTTTCTTGGCTGGGACCATGGGGAGTCACTTTAGGTGGGAGACTAAATCCAGTCCTTATAATTCCATCTTGGTCAAAAGCTCTTGGTGGCTTTTTTGTTTTCATTTCCTAAGTGGTTGCAGCAGGACTTAGACAGCTGCCTTAAGTTCTTGTGCAACATTACTATGGCCATCCCGAGTGTCCTCCCTGCCCCTGTAGCCACTAAGGATGGAGCAGGGTGGGAGTTCAGTTGTGGAAGAATACATGCACAGATGTGGTTGGAGAGAGGCTAAGGAGCTTGGATTTTATTCTCTAAGCTGCGATACCTCTGAAGATGTGTTGATGTTGGGAAAGAGATAATACAACCTATTTTCACAAATGATTGAGACACCTTTTGTAGGGCCAACTGCAGAAGCTGGGATGTAACAGGTGCTCAGTAAACATGTGTTGAAATGAGAGGGTGGAAACATGGGGGTGAGCAGGTTGCCACTGCAGCAGAAGGGTGAAACCAGAGCACGTGGAGGAAACATGGAGACTGGGAGTCTTAGAATGACTATGAAGCTGAAATCAACAGGGCATGGCCACTGGTTGGGGACAGACCAGCATGAGGGAGAAGAATGAGAGTAGGAGATGATTCTGAGGCATATATTGAGAATGGGAGCCTGATGCTAGCAGTGTGCCAGGGGCCTGTGGGAAAGAGGCAGTCTTTGAAGAATAACCAGTGTGATCTGGGACACATAAAGCTGGTTGCCAGGGACCTGCCCACAGAGATGTTCATGATCAGTTAGAAAGGTGGGCCTGGAGCTCATGATGAAGATCAGGACAGGAGATGCAGACTAGGTGTCATCCCTACAGAATCAATATGTGTCTTCCTCTGTGGGTACCCTTTGATACATCTGATGACCTGGGGTTTATTCATTCCCTCTTCCAGATCCACCAGACTGCAGGGGATTAGGGTGCTTCAGACTCCCCAGAGAAGAGGGTATTCCTGGATGAAATTGCCATTATCACCTTAAAGATACACCAGAGATAACCTGAGATAGTATGTAGAAATCTTAATTATAT